AGAAGAAGAAGAAGAAGAAGAAGAAGAAGAAGAAGAAGAAGAAGAAGAAGAAGAAGAAGAAGAATCAAAAACACAAATAATCAAATGGCAATAGCTACATATCTATCAACACTTATTTTAAATGTAAATGAATTAAGGGCTCGAATCAAAAGACACAAGGTGGCTGAATTGATAAGAAAACAAAATCCTTACATATGCTGCCTACAAGACTCACTTCAGATAGAAAGACACACAGACTGAAAGTAAAGGGATGGAAAAAGATACTTCATGAAAATAGAAACAAAAATAATTGGGGGTAGAAATCCTTATATCAGATGAAATAGACTTTAAAACAAAGGCTATAACGAGAGACAAAGAAGGACCCAGTAATCCCACTTCTAGGTATTTACCCGAAGAAACCCAAAACTCTAGTTCTAAAAGACACATGCATCTCTATGTTCATTGCAGCATTATTTACAATAGTGAATAGACAAATGAATAAAGAATAGGTGGGTACATATATACAACAAAATATTACTCAGCAAAAAAAAGAATGAAATCTTGTCATCTTTAACAACATGGATAGACCTAGAGGATATTATGCTAAGGAAAATAAGTAAGACAGAGAAAGACAAATATCATACGATTTCACTTATGTGTGGAGTCTAAAAAACAAGATAAATGAACAAACAAAACAGAAACAAACTCAAAGATATAGAAACAGCATTTTGATGGTTGCCAGATGGGAGTGGGATTGGGGGGATGGGTGAAAAACGGGTAGCAATTAAGAAGCACAAATTGGTAGTAACATAATAGTCATGGGGATTTAAAGTATAGTGTAGAAAATATAGTCAATAATATAATAACTATGTATGGTGTCAGATGAAGACTAGATTTATTATGATGATCACTTTGTAAGTTATATAAATTCTAATCACTATGTTGAAATTAATATTGTATGTCAACTGTAATTAAAAAATAAAAAAATATTTTTAAAAACCTTACCAGTTTACACTTATCCCAATTTCCTAAGTCATTTGATAATTCCAACTCTGGATGAAAGAACAAGATAACTCCTTTCAGGATGTCTTGTACTAGTTTTGTGTTGGCTTTCCACTTCTGAGACTGGCTGTCTAGTGGAGATATTTGCTCTGCTAGAGCCTCATAATCATAGAGCAACAGTGTTACAAAGTTCATGAAGGTAAGCAGTCGAAGGCCTTCCTGAAGCTCTTGCAGCATGATTCGGAAGAAGAGAACTCCTGCCCTCTGGACTTCTCCTACATTTTCAATCTCTGGAATCACAGAATGACATCACACATAGTTGTTCAGTATATACATTACTTTTTCATAGGATTCTGAGCATGATGTGGTAAACTTTTTTTTTTTCCAGGAAAAAGAAAGCCACATCCTATGGTTTTAAACAATCTTAGTTTCTTTAGTTATGAAATCAAAAGGCAGAAATGAAATTACACCTGGTGAAGCTCAGAGACAGAGGCTTTGAGGAAAGGTGATAACTCTTGTTTTAGAGTTAGACCTCGGTGTTAATATCTACTCTCCCCCTTTATTAGTTCTGTTGTCTCTGTACCTCCTCTTCCTTTTCTGTGAGAATGGGGCTGATCCCTATATCTCTGGTGAGCTGTGAGAATTATTTGTAAAAGTACTTAGTCTCAGGCCTTACACATAGTCGACACTTAAAAGACATGAATTTTCTTTCTTTCTTTTTTTTATCCCATCCTATGTAATGGCTAGAAACCTTTCAACTTAATTATACATGTGTTGACTCTTCTAATTCTATTCACTCTATTCCACGTAGACAAAGGCTTCCATGCTTTCTTCTTCCCTCTTTTCTACGCAAACTGGTTTTGTGCTAAGAGTAGCCTAGTGGATGTGAAATCACAAGGATTGAGGTCTGGTTCTGGCTCTGCCCCTAGCTTGCTATTGGACTTTTACTTCAATGGGCTTTAGCCTCTTTATCTGTAAAATAAGATGTTCCGATGAGTTAATACTATGTAATATAGTGGAAAGAGGACCAAATTGCAGTGCAAATCCAGTCTTCACCACTTGTTAACTGTGTGATTTGGTGCAAGTTGTTTTGTTTCTCTGGACTTTACTTTCCTCACCTATAAGTCATCACCATTCACCTCATAGAGTTATGATGAGGACTAATTGAAATAACATATTTAATGTACTTGATACAGGTTGGGGCATTTAATAAATGCAAGTTGTATATTGCCTTTAGAGTCCTTCCAGTCCTAAAACCATGTGATTCTAGCAAAGAAAATGTGATATTTTTATCCTTTACTCTTATTTATAGACCATACTATTCAGCCTAAGACTGCATGAGGGAATTCCTCTTATGTGGAAAACCTGTATATTTCAACAACTCATTTTAGAAAATGCATCCTTTATTGCATTGTCTATGATTTCTCCAAAACTTATGAAACCCATAAATCTAGACTGTCGCAACATTCACAATACCTAAGACACGGGTTTTCGTTATTTCTCCAGATAATTCGCCCAGTATTTCATAGCAGGCAGCTTGGGTCACCTTCACCATTTTCTGTAGATCTTTAAATTCTCGATACAACAACATCCTATTCCTGCCAATGTTAAAATCGAGAGCTCCCAAAGCCTCTCCTGTTCTCTCACGAAGTGGAATTGCTATGCGGTTTTCTCCACAGACAGAGGCCAAAACAACTTCTGAGCTGTCCGTACACTTAAAGAGGAAATCTCTGAAACCAAATCCAAATAAGCATAAGAATATAAAACAACAGACTGTTCATACCCAAACATTGAATCATTCTCTTTTATGCCCACTACACTCCAACCCATCACCTCTTGTTGGTGTTTTATCTGCCTGCACCATCCCACCCCTTGATTTCACAGAGCTGTCTCCCTCAGCTCACTCACTCATCTTCTCATAGAAAGCCTTCTTTCCCTGACCACACAAAGTGGCAGCACCTGAATCATTCCATCATGCTATTTTGCTTTACTGACTTTACTAATACTTATCTAAAGGAATTCATTTTTTTGTTTACATGTTATCCAGTTAATAATTTTTTATTTACATATTGTCCAGTAAGTACTAGTTAAATGCCTGAAGGAAGGATGAGGGTGTTAGGTTCTCTAGAAGCAGAACCTGAGAAAGAGAAGCTTATGCAAATGTTTATTGAGGGAATTCTCTCAGGAGAAACCTGTAAGGGTCTGAGGAAAACAAGATAGAGCTATGTAAGAATGTGATTTCAGGTGAAGTGTAGCCACAGCCCGATCTCAAGGGGAGTTCTGGAAGGCAAATTGTGCCAAAATCTGCCCCACCTTGAGGCAAGGAAGAGGTTTTTTGTCAGTTATTGGCTCTAAGTTGCTCTGGGTGTATGTGGGGAGGGTGCTTACATAACTCTTCAGCATCTCTTGGTGAGGGGTTCCCATCTCTCAAGGGTGCTCTTTCAGAGAAAGTAACAGTGTGAATCATTAGCAGCGGTACCTGCAGCAGCTGGCAAAAAATGTATGGGGGATCTGGGCAGGGCATTGACATCAGCTGATTCAGTGAGGGACCTGAGGTTTCCATAGAAATATAATGACTGCTTCTTCCTCT